ATGTGCCACCATGCCCGGCTAATTTTTTCTATATATATATTTTTTAGTTGTCCAGATCATTTCTTTCTATTTTTTAGTAGAGACAGGGTCTCGCTCTTGTTCAGGCTGGTCTCGAACTCCTGACCTTGAACGATCCACCCACCTCGGCCTCCCACAGTGCTAGGATTACATGCGTGAGCCACCGTGCCCGGCTGAAGCAGTAGCTTTTAATTCACATTTCTAACATCGTGTAGGCCAAGGCTTGGCATCCTAATCTTCTTTACCTGACCCACTTCTTAGGGCTGAGCTGCGGGTTTCCTGAGTGTCTTCTCCATGACTCAGCTCTGAAGAGTCACTACTGCTGATCCCTGTAGAAAGAAATATAATTCCTTAACAGTCCTAGCCTGTGTCTTAGCAGTCAATCCAGCAGAGAATTCTTTAAAAGGAAAATTGGAAAAGGAGGTTTATATAGGAGGGGTTGAAATAATCCTATCACTGGGCCACCTTTGGCTTCATCTGACCTCTTGGTCAAGGTTGGTCCAGGAGCCATCCCCAACTCTGGGGCTAGGGACAACTTTGCCAAGGCAGGGACTCCCTTTTGTCACGAATTCTTACACTTCTTGCCCTTTCCAATTATTTGCACACACTTGTGCTTCCACATCAGTTTCTCCTCCAGCTGAACCATGGAAGCAACATTTTAAAGATCAGAGCCTCCATCAGCCGGACCCTAAATGACTGTGTGAAGTAGAACACCCCATGCCCCACCCAAGAACTCCTTTATACTATTTATGCGAGTGAAGAATAAACTTGTATTACCCTTGAGCCATGGAAAACTTTGAGACCTATGTGGTGATTTCCTTTTGCGTATCCTCCAAGTAGATATGTATTTAACATTCACAGGATCTAGAAAGGAAAGGAAAACAAAACCAGTAATCCATACCTAAAAGGATTATAAATCTTACGACTACTTACACTGTGGACAAGATTTAGACTATAAAGATGCTGTGATGATCATTTCTGTCTCACCCCATCTAAAGGAAAGGGATCACTACCAAATGGAGTAGGGATCCACAATCCTTTAGCTCTAATTGAAAAATCAAACATGT